AAAAAATTCTGCAGATACCCTATAAATAGTGAAATACAATTCCTTCCTTCATATTTGTTGATATTTGTGTATTGAAAATATTTTTGATTGACATTTAAACTCCTATCTGATTTTCTATATTTAAAAAATAAAAAAATAAAAAAAAAGGTCTTTTTTTTTTATTTGGGCTAGTTAAATTAATTTTCGGGCTACCAAAATCTGAAGAGTACCTGCCCGAAGGTCTACCAGGGATTTTGAAATTTTGCAAGCCCTGACATCGATTAGCAATTGATTATAAATATACTTAATTATTATGAAAATACCAGAGATGGCTTGAATAACACAGATAAACTATATTGTCGCAGTCGAGTGTTTATTGTCTTTGTTTTATCATTCAAAACGTTTATATGTTCTGTTTACTCAGTTACAACTATAATAGCTATGCCTTTGTCCATATAAGGGATTTCCTGGAGGGTCATGAGTTCTCTACTTCTGTGACTGGATATGTGGATTTTCTGTGCGAGGGCGCCCTCTGGCGTCCAGTATGAATGAAACAGACATCATGTGTTTATAGTGCTAATGGGAATTTTAATTTTTTTATTTTTTAATAAGTATCGGTTCAGGCACCGTTTAGGCACCGGAACCGTTTTAAAAGTATCGATTTGGCATCGGTGTCGGAAAAAAAACCAAACGATACCCAACCCTAGTTATCATCTTCTCATTGCATCATCCGAAGAACATTGCACAACTGTCCTTTTTGGGTGAATCATGAAATCAAGTCTAGGTTGTGTTTTACCATAAAATCAAAAGAGAAATTAAATTATAGTTTTGCAAAATAAAGCCTATCTTTAGGACCATTAAGATGCGTTGCATTGTGATTTGCATTATTCTCATGCCAATTAAGCACAAATCTTCATTACTTCAATGCATCTGGATGCTTTGAAGTATGTTTGTAATTGTCATGATTTTTAATGGTGATTCTAATTAGATTCTTAGTAAAAGTAACTCTTTAAAACACAAAAATATTTGTGAAATTTACTAGCAGTTTCTGAATGAAAATTGATTCACCACCATCTTTTTTAATATATATATTGTTATATATATTTGTGTGAGTGTGTGTGTGTGTTTTGGAGGGAATTGTACTTAATTAGTATGAAAATAATGTCACAGTGAAAAAAAATATTGATGGAAAGAAGTCTTTATTATTTTTTTTTTTTATTATTATTCTTTTGTTATTATATATACAGGTGCATCTCAATAAATTAGAATGTCATGATTGGTGGGTTTTTGTTAAATGTGAGCCAAAATCATCACAATTAAAAGAACCAAAGACTTAAACTACTTCAGTCTGTGTGCATTGAATTTATTTAATACACGAGTTTCACAATTTGAGTTGAATTACTGAAATAAATTAACTTTTCCACGACATTCTAATTTATTGAGATGCACCTGTATATATATTTTTTTAATTTTAGGCTGAAATATGAGAGACTTCGACAATCAAATCTAAATAGTTAATAAAAAATATTTTATATTGGTGCTAACTTGAATAATTATTTATTAACAAAATATTAAACTTTTTTAAATCAAATCTATAAGCTATATATTTTTAGTCACAATTTTGATTGGAATTTGTTGCATGCTGAGCATTAAGTCCCAGAATGCATGTCTATTAATATGGTGAGACCCAGCAGAGCTCTAGTGTGCAATTACTAACACTTCATCTTGATTTCTGTGAAGAAACAACACGACATGCTGAACTTTGAAAACTTAGGCTCCACTTTCTTTTGGTCTTCTTGTGTTTTATGATTTGAGCTCTGAGGAGCCGCTAACAGAGAGAAACACAGAGCTTTATTGTCATGTTTTTAGTGAAGGACTACCAGTTTGATCAGAAACACACAAGTAGGGGGATCTCCAGAGGGATGATCGTAAATTAAACTCTTTATGTTCTGCTGAAAAGCACGCGCATCATTTCCTCAGCAGCGTCTGTGTCTCCATATGGTGTAATGAGAGTAAGTGCATTGATTTGAGAGATGCTATAAAACATAAGGGCTTTCACCCATATGTCGCATCTGATGACACAGAGGGGACTGAGATTCAAACCCTTGATTGTTCAAAACATCTGCACAATAGTCAAAAAACATATTATATATATATATATATATATGCATTTTTTGCATTATGGTATTGAGAATTTGGGGAGGGGAAATGTTTTTTTTAAAGAATGTATAATAATAATAATAATAATAATGCAAAACATTTATATTTTCTTGCTAAATTACATCTAAAAGAGTTTTTACATTATGATAATGAGAATTTGGAGGGGAAATGTGGTTAAGTGTCATTATAATAATTTGTTTTTTTTATTAAATGCAAGTGCAAAATATACGCATTGTATTTTTTGCATTATGGTAATGAGAATTTGGAGGGGACATGTGTTTATGATAATAATAATAATAATAATAATAATAATAGTCTATTACCTTGCAAAATTAAATGCAAATGCTTTTCTAATTTTTTGAATTATGGTCATCAGAATTTGGAGGGGAAATGTGCTTGTTATATAAATGTAACCTAGTACTGATGAGCGAATTTGATGGTTTATTGGTTTCTATTTTTTGTGTATTAGGAATACTGTTGGCTCTTTGACAAATTGTCTTTGTTCCTCTTTTTTAAGTCGCTTTGCATCTACTAAATGTGTAAATGCAAATTGAGCTGGGTAGCCCCGCCCACAATTACCTCTCATTGGTCCAAAATCCAGTTGCACATAACTATGCATTAAACATTAAATACGTGACCCTGGACCACAAAACCAGTCATAAGGGTACATTTTTTGAAATTGAAACAAATCGGACTATATTTGGCTGAGATACAACTATTTGAAAATCTGGAATCTGAGGGAGCAAAAAAATCTAACTATTGAGAAAATCGTCTTTAAAGTTGTCCAAATGAAGTCCAGCAATGCATATTACTAATCAAAAATGAAGTTTTGAAATATTTACGGTAGGAAATGTACAAAATATCTTCATGGAACATGATCTTTACTTAATATCCTAATGATTTTTGGCATAAAAGAAAAATAGATAATTTTGACCCATACAATGTATTGTTGGCTACTGCTACAAATATACCCCAGCGACTTAAGACTGCTTTTGTGCTGCAGGGTCACATATGTTCTGATTGGCTGATGGTGTGTCATATCATGCATTTTAACTTTCAGTGTGGACAAACCAATCACTGATCAAAATCACTTTCAGATTTGCTCTTTCACTCCATTACATGTGAACAAACTGTACTAAACCAATGTTAAAATTATATCTTGCTTATCAAAACCTCAGTGAAAGGCGGTTTGAGAAACAAGTGTCTGGACTGAAGTGATTTGTGTGGGTTCAGAGGGACTGCTCCTGTTTGTACAGTTGTCGTCAGCTGACACTCAAACAAATGAGCCGACGAACTGCTAAAACCAGCCCAAACTGCTTCACACACCATAAATACACTTTAAAGACTGATGCAATATTTGGAAACAAAGTTATAGTTTTAGAGAAGATGCTTGTTTCTGGGTCTCGCTGTGACCCAGAATAACACTGCATAAAACACTGAGAGATAAATTTAGCTCACAGCATATTTGCCCTCCATTTGCATCAGCGAGCATGAATGGAAGTTAACAAGAACAGAAGAAGTGTTTAGAAAATGCAGAACAAATGTTCATAAACACTGTTTTATTGAGTAACCCCAGCTAAATGCTCAGCAACTTCATAAAGTCATATACAAGCGTGACTTAAGACGACTAATGTTTTTTAAAGGGGTCATATGATGTTGCTAAAACCGTTTTAGGAGGGTGTGGCTGACTCTTAACTTTTATGAAGAATATCTCTTTGGATTTGAGACTTTAGTCTTTGCAACTTTACAGATCTTCTTTATGCACCGAGAGCTTGTAACATTTCAAAGAGAAAGGACAAATTTAAATCGCATCATATGACCCCTTTAAGATTCCCGCGGCTCTTTAATGTAAGTTTCAGGACACATGGTCTCACTCTTCTTATTAATTACAAACATAAACTGGATACAAACCCAGCGTTAGATATGAAAAACTGATCTGAGGCCAGCACAAAACCTGTTTTTTTGAACAGTGAAGGGTTTCATCAGATGTGACATATGGCTGAAAGGCCTCATGACAGACAGCAATGAGAATGTGAATACAGCTGAACTGTGTTTTATTGTGTCTCCCAAATCAATGCACATTTCCCCTACAAATTCCCATTATCATAATGCAAAAAAACAACAACTTTGCATTTAATTCTGCCAGAAAACAGGCTATATAAATAAACAAAAAAATAGTCTGTTTTCTTGATAAATTAAATGCAGATGCATTTTTTAATTTTAGCAGTATGGAAATGAGAGTTTGAAGCAAAAATGTGCCTATAATAATAATAATAATATTAATGCAGACATAGTTTATTTTCTTTCAAAATTAAATGCAAATGCATTTATTTATATTTTTGCATTATTTTAATGAAAATCTGTAGAGGAAATGTACTACTTCTACTAATAATAATGCAAATACGTATATTTTGTCATGAAATTAAATGCAAATTATTATTTTTTTATTTTGCATTATGATAATGAGAATTTGTAGCAGACATTTGCTAATAATAACAATATTGATTCAAAATAGTTTATTTGCTTGCTAAATTAAATCTAGATGCATAATTTTTTTGTTTGATTCTATTTTATTTTTTGCATTATGGCATTGATAATTAGTTGGGAAAATGTGTTTAATTGTCATAATAATATTCTCTTTAATATTACTTCTTAACAAACCCATTAGGATTGATGAGAATGTGTGACTGAATTATTAACACATTATCACATTACTATATATACAGTACTCTGCCATTAGATATTATTCAGTTGCAGTTGTGTCTTATTCAGCACTGAGTTTGCTGTCGTTTTGTTGTATATGTATCATTGTGATCATATCGGTCCTGATCTGAGTGTGTCTGGTGTTTCTTTGTGTCCAGACCAGCGCGTGGCCTCGTTCTGCACCATGACGGACATGCAGAGAGCCGAAGCGCTGCAGATCTCGCGTGAGCTCACCAGACGCGTGGCAGCCGCTGAGGGAGCCGCACTGGAGGCCGGGTGAGTTTAACACCGAACACACGCACACACACACAATACACTGTGTGTTCATGCTCAGACTAACAGCTCTGTCTTGCTCTTCAGTGATACGTCTCCAGCCACACTGACGGGCAAAGTCAATCAGCTGGAGGTCATCCTGAGACAGCTGCAGTACGACTTGAAGAAGGTAAACTATCCCGTCCTGATGAAAAACAATAGCCGTGTTTCGTAGGTCCAGCATGATTTGAATTTTTTTTTTTAAATCATTGTGTATTGGACAAGATGGTCATTACTGTATTATGTTAATGAGATATATTTTATTTATTTTTGGTAAATGGGGTAAATTAGGGTAAATTTATTGCTAAATTAAATGCAAATGCTTTTTTTGTATTATGGTAAAAAAAAAAATTGGGAAATTGTGCATAATAATAATAATGCCAAAAATTGTCTTCATTTTCTTGTATAAATTTGTACAGTTACTATTATTATTATTTTTTGCATTATGGTAATGACATTTTGTAGAGGAAATGTGCTTATAATAATAATGCAAAAAAAGTTAAATTTTCTTGCAAAATATTTATTTATAATTCAGTTTAACTTGAATTTAAGAAAGTCAGTTGGAGGTCATCTCAAGACGGCTGCAGTATGACAGTATGGTGTGAAAAACGTGGACTATCCCATCCTGATGGAAAACAATAAAAAAAAGTCTCGGTTAGCCTAACACGGTACACGTAGCAAGGTTTATATATATATATATATAACAAAAAAGAAAACAAGCAGTTAGAAAACGAATAGAGAGTGCAAAGTGTTAGAGGGCCAAGTCAACAAATAGATCAAATAGAATTAGAATGCCGGCTCATCATCGTGATGTCTGTCAGCCATCAGCGATGGACGATGGCATCGTCTATCGGCCCAACCCTAGTAGAGAATGAGTTGAAATGGTTAAAATGGTAAAATAAAAAATATAATTTAAAATGCATAACAAAAAAACATTTAAATTTAATAAATAAAAATAGGTCGGTATTAGGTCTGTGTACGTTGCGTTCATTCGTTTTTTGATTTAATATTGAAAACAGAAACATGATAAAACGGCACCATTTTCGTTTTTACATTCAGGGGTAGAAAATGGATAAACAGCTTGAATGTTCGATTTCCACGTGTGGGAGGGAATTAAACGCCCCTTTCCACTGATTAGTCAAGCAAAAATTAAACAGTGCCGTCATCATGTTGTCTTCAGTTCTGTGCAACAGAATAAGAGTCCTCCGCGGTTACGGTGTTTATTGTAACTCCTGCATTTCGTCTCTCTCTCATCAAACAACCAGACTAACAAATGGACAGGGTTTACTTCTGTGTAGGCATAGTTTCTCTATGGCAAGTATTAGGTGCTTATTGCAGAAATATGTATGTACCTCGGATCTGCAGCCACATTACCCTTTTAGATTTCTTTGGCGCACCGCACATTTTATTTAGCTGTCCAGTTATCAAAATCTGTGTGGCAAAGCTGCGTGACGCACTGGACAACACAAATGCATTTACATTATAGTGAAGCGCAGACCAGTATTGATTTTAGTGTGAATATGCAGCAGTCATAACTTTTATTTTAGACAGTACAGTTTCATTAATAATGAGTATGAATTGATTTCATTTTAGACACGAAACAGTGTGTTTTATTTGACATAAAACACAGGCGACATCAACACCATGACTTGCTGCCACCTACTGGCGATGTAACCTTCATAATTCAAGTATCCAGTTGTTTCATTTTGTCACTAATTTCATATTTCTGTAGGCTATTCAGAATGTTTTTGTTTAAAATATTAATCTCATTCCATAATGCAATTGCTGAGTTAATACATTTACTGCCGTCTGAGCAGTATTAGTTGTGTAAATACATCTAAATTCAACTTAAGGCAGCTTCTGTGCCACAGTGCAAAGATGGCTTTGGTTGGTACTGATGTAATTGGTAACACCTATAATGTCATATTTTTCAAATATTGACTAAATTCAGAAATGTAATATTAAAGGTGACATATTTTATAAAGTTAGAAAAATGCCCTTTTCTATAAAAATAGCATGTATTATATTTATATACATATGTGCAACATGCCGTCAGATAATGACAGTATCATATAAACTTCTATGAAAAAAAAAACTCGAAATAATAATCAAAATGGTAAGATATCTTTATATTCTCACTACAACCGATACTGGTCTGCGCTTCACTATAATGTAAATGTCACGCAGCTTTGTGTTGTGTAATGCTTTGTAATGTGGCTGCAGATCTGAGGTAGGCTACATACATATTTCTGCAATAAGCACCTAATATCTGACATATAGAATCTATGCCTACACAGAAGTAAGCCCCATCTAGGCGCTGCCCCAGTATGGTTTGTGTCAAGCCATTTGTTAGTCTGGTTGTTTGATGAGAGGGAGATGAAGCAGGAGTTGCAATAAATGCTTTAACAGCGGAGGACTCTTATTCTGTTGCACAAAACTGAAGACGACATGATGACGGCACCATTTGATGCTTGCTTGACTAATCAGTGGAAAGGGGCGTTTCATTTCCGCCCACACGTGGAAATCGAACGTTCAAAATGTTTATCCATTTTCTACCCCTGAATGTAAAAAAAAATGGTGCCGTTTTCTCATGTTTCTGTTTTCAATTTTAAATCAAACAACAAATGAACGCAGCGTACACGGACCGTATTACCGCCTTCACAGTATTACAGAATTTGACAATATTACCACTTACCAAGTATGGTTTAAAATAAATTTATAAATAAATAATGAAATAAAGTGTAATAAAAAAATGACAGTATTGTCCATTTCTAATTTGACAACATTATCACGTTTACAAATATTAGAGTTTGAAAAAAAAAAAGTTTTTAAACAATTTAAAAAATAAATAATAAAAATAAGATTAATAAATAAAAATGACAGTTTTACCACTTTCTAATTTGACATTACTGCTTTCACACTGTTACAGAATTTGACAGTATTAATACTTTAAAAAATTGTTCAAAATAAATAGCAAAATGACAATATTACCACTTAATTTGACAAAATGACCGCCTTCGCAATATTACAGAATCTAAAAATACCACCACTTAAAAAAATTAAATAAAAAAATTACAAAAATGAATAAATAATAAAAAATAAAAAATGTAATGAATAAAACAAAAATTACAGTATTATCAATTTCTTATTTGACAATATAACCAGTTTCACAATATTATATAATTTGACGGTACTATCACTTTAAAAATTATTTAAAACTTTTTTTTTTTTTTTTAAATCCCAATTATATTAACAGCCATAGTGTTTCTCTTCAGGTTAAAGGTGTGTAAGAAAAAATTAAACACTGCAATAAAATAGAATCAAGTTATTTATTAATGACAAATTATTTTACACTGCATGTATTTATTTTATTTTTTTTGTTTGTTTACTTGCTTACTCACACTCAGGTTGTTCTTGAAGAATATCCAAGGCTGATATTTTCCATATAATGACAGCATATAGTGAGCACCATAAAACGGCTAGTTCACTATATTCTGAGGTCATTGGTTCACTTTTGTGCACAGGAAAAGGAAGACAAGGCGATCCTGCAGGTGGAGGTGCAGCACCTGCGGCAGGACAACATGCGTCTGCAGGAGGAGAGCCAAACGGCTGCCGCACAGCTCAGGAAGTTCACCCAGTGGTTCTTCCACACCATCGACAAGAAGCCTTGATGGAGACCACTGAAGACTTCCAGGACTGCACGCCATTGACCTACACTAGCAAAGCCCGATTCCTACTGCAGTTCAATCAGATGCAGAATGTAAGTATATTCTGGACTGAAGAAGAGTGTAGATGAGCAGCGAAGACACACGGAGGCAGGTTTAGCACGGAGAATGTACTCAATTAGCAACTAAACGATGTTTCTGGAGGTGGATCATGAATGTAACACATCAAGACTTGGCGAGACGTTTCATTTTCTGCCTCCGTTATTGAAAGGCGCAATCAAACGTTGAAGTTCAGCGGGTCAACGGTACCTTTTGAATCATTTCTGTCCACAATCATCAAGTTCTGGCAATAAGAGTCATGGATTTGCCAAGCAAACACAATGTGAATAGTTTGTGAAGCTGTAAATGTTGAGATTGTGCCTCAAAGAAAAGCCGAAATGAAGCAGGTGTGTGCATAACGTGGCTTTCCGCTCCTGCCTCGTCTCGAATCCACAGTCACATGCCAAAACTCTGTGTCCATGTCTGTACAGAACCTCCAATCAAGTGTCTTGTATTTAACACTGTTATTTAAGCTTCTTTCACCTAAATTAGTTTATTTTATTAAAATGAGCGGCTTCTGGAGGAAAGGCTGTGAGAAGGCCATACTGTGACGGTTTTGCCAGGACTGTGTCCGATACATAGATATATTGAGGATTTGTCTTTTTTCCCTCATTCCAACATTTGGATGCTGCTAGATAACATTTTGTTGGTTTCTATGCTTTTACAAATGTGTGTCTCTGTAAATTTCATGTAAAATGGGACATTGGTTGCTTTTTTTTTTTTAATAAATGTAGTATGTCAAATAAATCTGATGCGTCATCTTAATATTTCAGGTCCTAGGAAAAAACATTTATGTGTTTATAAATGTGTGTGTAATTTTATTTGTATTTTTTGTGAACATTTTGCTAAACATCTATTGCGCTACACTGAACAAAGGGAAGGTTTGGGACGACGTGAGGGTGAGTAAATGATGATATTTGGGTGAAATTTCTGTGTGAAATATTCCTTTAAGTAAAGTTAGTGCTAGTGTATTATACAGAACAGGGTGATCCAAATCCACCAAGTTGGGACGTTTCCTAAAACAACTTAGTTTGTATGTAGTTTAGGAAAAAACATTTATGTGTTTATAAATGTGTGTGTGTGTGTGTGTGTGTGTGTAATGATCATTACTTTTATTTAATTTTTTTATTTTCATTCTTTGCGTTATGGTAATGAAAATTTGTCATAATAATGCAAAACGATATGCAAAAGTTCTTGCAAAATAAAATACAATATTATGGTAATGTGCGTAATTGTAGTAGCAATAATAATAATGTAAAATAGTCATTTTCTTGCAAAATTAGATGCAAATGCAAAATTTAATTTTCACATCCAGAAAGGTGCTTAATTTTCATTAATAGTAGTAATAATAATAATAATGCAAAATTTTCTTGCAAGATAAGATGAAAATGCAAAATGTATTTATTTTATTATTTGCATTATGATAATGTGAATTTGTTGGAGAAATGTGATAATCATAATAATAATAATTCAAAAACAAATAGTCTTTATTTTCTTGCTAAGATGGAAATGCAACATATTTGTATTTTATTATGCAATGCATTTTATTATTTGCATTACGGTAATGTGAATTTGTAGGGGAAATGTGCTTAATTATCATTTCTTGCTAATTACACCATTTCTTGGTGTGATGTTGTGTATTTTTGCGACTTTGGAGCCCCCTACAGTTAAGTGAGTGGAATTGACTGTCGTAATTACAGTGTAGTACAGCTGTACACGCGCATTTGTTGAATGCTGCTGTAAAGCAATCTGCTCTTTCCTCGGAATTTACCGTGCTCTCCAACCGTACAAACTCCCAGAACAGATGCTTGGGGAAGAAAAAGTCAGTGTACCATCAAAATGATTTTGAAATTGATATTACAAGGTTAAAAAAAAAAAATCCATCGAGGCATACTGACTGTTGCTTCTGGCTAAAATACAAGCTCATAATAACTTTTTCCAGCGGAAAAAACGGTAATGTGAATTTGTAGGGGAAATGTGCTTAATTATCATTTCTTGCTAATTACACCATTTCTTGGTGTGATGTTGGTATGAAGAGTGAGTTGGATGTTTGGTACTCAGATTGGCTCAGCTGGCAGGTCCGTGGACCGCTGCTTGTCACTGCAAACATCTGCCTCTTTCTGAGCCTCCTGTGATTTGATTGACTTTCTGATGACACTGACATTTTCTCCAGTTCAGCACCGGCAGAAAATTATTGTTGCCATGGGTTTTTGTTGCCATGGAAGCAGCATATTCCGCCGAGGACCCTTTTGGGAATACCTGCCTTAGAATAAGTTCATATCTACAGAGCATCCATTGCTGAGACACTGATGCAATGCTACATTTCTCCAAATCTGATGAAGAAACAAACTCATCTGCATTGTGGATGGCCCGAGGGTGTGTATCATATTCATTTTTGGGTAACTATTGCTTTAATGACCTCTGTCTGCTTCATTAAGACAAGAGAAAACAGTTTCTACAACAGATGTCTATAAAATAAGTGGAGAAATGGTGATTGCAGATGCAAATCCAGACTGCAGAACAGATGCTGCTTCTCTGACTGAAATATTAATTTTGTATGTTGCTCTATTTCAGAATGAGGATCATATATTTCTTGATGAGTTTCCTGCCTCTGTAAAGCCTGTGGTAGCGGCAGCTGTTCGGGTGTCAAGGTGAATTATTGCTTAAAAGAAACTGCTGTTGATGCATCTGGTACTGAAGTAGTTAGCATGCTTTTCCTTCTGTTTTTATATGTAAATTGTTAAAGCTTCAAAGAGGCCAAACTCATAAATTACATTATGATTAAAGAATCGCACTGTAAATCCCAGCTGCCAGGAATCTCTTTCCAACATCAGAGACGACCGCAGGATTGAAGTGGTACAAGAGGTGGAGACACTAATTCATGGAA